GTCTGGGTGACAGAGTGAGACTCCAACTCAAAAAAACCCCCAAAACAACAACAACAACAAAAAAGAAATCTCTTTTTTAATCTGTTTGTGAAATCACAGCATATGGGAAGCACTGATGTAGTGCAGGTTCTTACCACCTGGTTCTATGCTGCCCACCCTTACTCTTTGTAGATGTCCTATAAGATGCCCCCCAACCCTGGCCCAGTCACTCTGCAGTGCCTCTTACTTCCTGCCATGCACTGTGCAGAGGCCCTGCTCATCCCAGAGGAAAGTGTAGACATAATTATATAGATCAGGAGACTGCAGTGCCGAAAGGTTAAATGACTTGCCCAAGGTCATTTGCCTAATCGGAACAGAATTGAAGTTATAACTCAGTTGTCTGGGACTGGTCTGATGACAAGAATAATGATGATAAAAATAACAATAATACTGCGTTTACAATTCACTGAGTACCTAGAACTTAAGTGCCAGGCAGTGTGAGTTCTATTCATACATCATCTTGCTTAGACCTCAAAACAATCACACGAGTGTCATTGCTATGTCTATTTTACAGATGAGGAAACTGAGGTATAGAAGTGTTGAGTAAATTGCCCAAGGTCTTGCAGTTTTTAAATGTCAGAGCTGAGATTAAATTCGAGGTCCCTCTGACTGCAAAGTCAATGTTTTTAATCTCTGGGCTCTACAGAGAAAACAAAGTGTTCTTATCCTCAAGGAGCTAATGGTGTGTGTATATATGTGTGTGTTCGTTAAATGATTTATACTTTATATATATCATATGATTGCTGTATACATATAGCAAGTCTTAGCTGTTTTTAAAAGTCCTTTTCACGTATTCTATATCTACAAAACTGTATCTCTCTTTTATAAATGTTATTTACACTTGGTCAGTGTCATCTATTTTTGAAAGCATTTGGTTTTATCCCAAATTAATTCTGTGCTTACGGTCAATAAGAGAAGAAGCTGAATTCCAGTAAGACAAATTTTCCTTCTTTTTTTAACTGAATAAATTATACTGTGAACATCAATTTCAGTTACTTTTTTTTTTTGAGTCAGAGTCTCACTCTGTCACCCTGGCCAGAGTGCAGTGGCACACTCAGCAGCCTTGACCTGCTGGGCCCAAACGATCCTTCCACCTCAGCCTTCCAAGTAGCTGGAACTACAGGCGAGTGCTACTATGCCTGGATATTTTTTATTTATTGTAGAGAATAAATCTCACCAAGTTGCCCAGGCTGGTCTTGAACAACTGGGCTCAGGCAATTCTCTTGCCTCTGCCTCCCAAAGTGCTAGTATTACAGGCTTGAGCCAGCATGCGCAGCGTCAGTTACCTCTTATAGCAACTAAAGTGGCTAAGATATCAGTAACTGACAAAACTTGTTGAAAACATATTACTAGTATTTTTGAAGATTATAATAGTCTCTTTTTGTTTCTTTTTATTCTTGGTTTCTTTTTTTAATTTTTAAATTTATTTTTAACGTATTGTAGAGATGAGCTCTCGCTATGTTGTCCTGTCTGGTCTTGAATTCCTGGGCTCAAGCAACCCTCCTGCTTGACCTTCCAAAGTGCTGGGATTATAGGTGTGAATCACCACGCCCAAACTTGTCATTGGTTTCTTAATTTCTTTTTTCTGTGTCTACCTTTCTCAGTTGCTGGTGGAGCTGAGTGAATATAACTTTTGCTGAAAAGCATTAGAACCTGGCAATTGAAGATATTGCCACAAAGTTTTGTTTTTAAAAAGCTTAATCTCTTTGGTCAATGACTTCTGGAGATCAAGAACTCTGACTTCCTTTTAATATAGGCATTGAATTGAAATGGATTAAAATTGAGGGAGGGAATCATAGAGCCATATGCAGAAAGAGATTTCCAAATTTTTATATTTTTCAGTCTAATTTCAGCTGAAAGTCACTGAAGCATGATCTGAATGGGTCGTGGTCAAGGGTTCAGGACATTATAGCTCTGACATTGCTACTCACTGACTTTTCTCCATCTCTCTTCTTCTGCCAGCTCTAAGAAAGCAGCAGACTTGGTGAAGAGATATGGCACATGTGGGCCCTGCAGCCAGTCATATACTGCTCTGCCTTCAGACATTCTAAGCTGAGGTTTAGTTCCTCCCCTGTAAAATCAGCTTCATTTAATCATTCAACAGATTACTGGGCATTTACTGTACACTGTTGAAACAACTAACATTAAGTAAGCACTGGTTAATGTAATTATATGCTCCAGTGCACTAGTTATATAATTATAGAGAATTATATAAATTGTCTCATTTAGTCCTCAGAACATTGAAGAAATAATATTAAAAATAATGATAAATAATCACAACAGTGGTTAACCCTTATTGAGCATGTCCTATTTGCTAGGCATTGTGCTAAGAATTTTATATAAATTAATGTAGTCGTCATAATACCCAATGAGGATACTATTGTTTTCCACATTTTTCATGTGGCAAAACTGAGTTTCAGAGAGATAAATCTGGTACATTTTTATGAGTCACACAACTCCTAAGAAGCTTAGGTAGGATTCAAACACAGGCAACTTGACTCCAAATCCTGTGCTTTTAACCACCATGATAGTCTATACAAATTTATTATAATTAGTTCTATATTTCTAAGGATAAGAATAGATTGTAATAGAAATAGGTCTTTTCCAGATGTCACAGCTTGCAGAATGAAGTTATGGTGAATGTACAGATTCATTTTATCTCATCACCATATGCAATGGCTAGATATGTTGTTTTTTTGAAAGCCGATATCACCTTTTATATATAGTTTCCTCCAGCAGGATTGGAACAGGCTGGGGACAGCATGTAAAGATTTATGGGAGGCCCAAAGTAAAAAGACTTCTATGTTGTTGAAGAAAAGGTATTTACCTCATTCATTGGTGATCCTGTGTGGCTACAGTGATACCAAGAAGATTATGTAAAGCCTCCTATTGAGCAGGCAGGGAGAGAGACAGACAATCCATCCTCATGAAGGGGGAAGAGTCTCAAAATATGACGAAGGCTATATGTACAAAAATGGTTATTAAAACTAGCTAGAACAGCAAAAAGCTGAAAGCAACTTAAATATCTAACTAATAATAGGAAATGATTAAGTCAGTTATAGTTCATTGACCTGATGGGGCATTATGCAGCTATGCATTTATTTGTTTTAATGCTTTGGTTTTGCAAGAAAATCATCTGTGATCTGACCATCCTGTGATAATCACTATTAAGTGTTGGTTTATTTCCTGTCAATTTGTATTCCTGTTTTCTTTATAATGCAGCAGCCATTATAAGGGATAGTTATAAAGACGAGGTAGCAATTTTTAAAAATGCCATAATAAGCAAATAAGCAAGATAAAAAGTTTTTACAACTATGGGAAGACATGAATACATAGGAAAAAAGATCAGAAAGAACCACACTAACATTGTAATGGTGGTTATCTTAGGATGTAAGATTATTTTTTATTTTCTACATTGTGCTTATGTGACACATGGGTCAACAGTGAGACACTCCCAAGAGCTCTTGAGTGTTAAGCTAATAAAACCTATGCTTAATGAATAGGATCAGAGCTATGCAGATAACTCCCCTAAGTTCTTGTTGCTCAGAGTATGATTTTCAAACTAGCAACATCAGCGTCCCTGGGTATTTTATTAGAAATATAGGCTCCAATCCAGATCAATAAGAATAAGAACATGGTTTTGACAAAATCCCCAAGTGATTCTTATTCATATTAACGTTTAAGATGCATTGCTCTAAATGACAGGCTTTCTCACTTCTAAAAGAGCAGAATTTGATAATAGCCTAATGAATGGTAATACTAATCTGAAAATAATGTGCTAATAGAAAAGGATTGATAAGAAAATTGGCAAGTGGAAGTGGAGCAGAACTTGAAAATCTGGGGTGAGAGAATCAATTTGGAGACTCCAAAGTTAGTCCCTAGGGACTTGAGGCTTCATGTGAGTCATGAGGGGTCCACCGGGCTCTCCAGGCTATGAACATATATCTGTACAGCTTTTCCACTGATCTTGGTTCTGGCTCTGTCATCCCCTCTTTGGCTCTGCATTGCTTTTACCTCTAGCTTTACTTCAGGGAGAAATTGCCCTTGTCATGTGTCCAAAAGAGATCTAGACTTTTGGAGAGTTCTGTGGTTCTCATTAAAATATAATAAATTGCCTTTTTTTTTGAGTTGGGGTCTCACTTCATCACCCAGGCTGGAGTGCAGTGGCACGCTCATGACCATCCCAGTGTCAACCTACTGGGCTTAGATGATCCCTCTGCCCCAGCCTTCTAAGTAATTGGAACTACAGGCATGCACTATCATGCCTGGTTAATTTTTTTATTTGTTATAGAGATGAGGTCTTGCCAAGTTGCCCAGGCTGTTTTCAAACCTGTGGGCTCAGGCAGCCCCCTCACCTCGGCCTCCCAAAGTGCTGAGATTACAGGCTTGAGCTACTGCACCCGGTCTAAATTGTCTTTTCTTAATGAATTAACTAGAAACTGTAGTATCCAATCTGTGAACTTACTTTTAATTTAAAGTGATCACATCAGCATCTTTGTGAATTTATAAATCTGGAATGCTTTTAGCTTGTAAATGTCTATGGAAGAAATACTGAATGATTTTAAGGAGTTATTGATAAAATTACCAATAAAATTATGGAGGCTTAAAACCACCTAGAGATTAATTATAGAGATTGAAACCACCTTTTCCTGGATGGTCCTGTTGGGGTGGCCATGGACTTCCTTAGGGGAAATGTACGTGGTTCTTGGAAACCACATTAACTTTTGTAACTGATTTTTGAAAAATTGAAATAAAAAGTAATACATAATGGGAAGGAAAGTATCCTACAGTTTTGTTATTCAAGGAATCCTGACTTATTTGGCATATTGTGATTCACAGACACTTCTCAATTACTGATTTTTCACTCTTTGATATCAGCTTTTGAAAATATTTAGGACCATTGAATTTTGTGTTTTTGTGATGCCTCAGAAATTAACATTACTCAATCTTTTTATTTATAGAATGAGATATTTTTTTCTAATGTTTTACATAATGCCCTCAGAGGAGATCATGCCCTGGTGCCTAGAGCTGTGTCCATGAAGGTGGAAAATATCACAGAAACAAGTGAAATTATGGAGCTATATGATATATTTACTTACCACAAGGTAAAAGCAGTTATAAATCTCCTTTTGTTTGTACTCTTTAGAAAGTTGCACAAAATGAATTTCAAGGGTTTTTTACTTTTGATACAAATAACTTTAACTTTATTCAATAGATGGTTTCAGAAAGCATGATTAAATCAATTCGCATCTGGCAAATATTAATCAAGCCCATATTAGAACATTGGTACCATCTACGATTATAAATAGACTTAAACAACTTGCCACTTTTAAGGTGAACCCTTCTGTTTGGTAGAAATTCATTCTTGCCATGTAAATGTCTCAGTTTTACAAAATTTTGTGTACCCTGAACTCATTCTACATAGGACATTTGTTCACCTTTTACCTCTTAATTTAGTGACAGTCTACTATTTTATTGGCACATTTTGGTGTAATTCAAAGAGTCAATTAAAGTGCAAAATACAATCAGGAGCACAGCCCAGAATATTGCTTAAAAAAATGGAATATGTCAGTATGTAAATATTGAACTTTGTTCAAATAATGAACAACTTCTTTTGTCCTAGGGGGCATCTATCGCCCGAATGCTTTCCAGTTTCTTGAATGAGCATCTATTTATCAGTGCACTCAAGGTGAGTTTACAAAATAGTCGTTACCTGAATGGCAGTAAATATATATTGCTTTGGCATGTTATTTATTTTAACCTCAACTTTTCTACCTTTGCAGTCATATTTGAAGACGTTTTCTTATTCAAATGTTGAGCAAGATGATCTCTGGAGGTATCTTCAAATGGTAATTGTTCTACTTTCTGAGACATTCTTGCTGAATTGTTTTGTATGATACAGTACAACATGATCAAGAAGTCATGGGTGAATGGAAATCCCACAGGGAAACAATTTAGCCTTATTGTGGAACTCCCTTAGGTCATGGGTTGTGTCTTTAGTCTTCACTGTATTCCTGGTGCCCAGAACAGAACCTGGCACATATTAGAGTCATAAATATGTGTTCAGAGAATGAATGAACAAATGAAAGAATCATTTCCCTATAGAAATAAACAGAGTTCTGAATTTGGCCCAGAATGTCATCTACTGTGGGACTACTATATAAATGAAGAATAGAATAGCTACCTCATTTCTTTTTGGAGATTGCTACTTCAAGTGGTTTTGCTAATAATTTTGTTATTTTTTGCTTTTGTGATTTTTTTTTTAAAAACAGGCCATAGATGACCAGAGTACAATTCTTTTGCCAGCAACAGTAAAAAGCATAATGGACAGTTGGACACGCCAGAGTGGTTTTCCAGTGATCACTTTAAATGTGTCTACTGGCGTCATGAAACAGGAGCCATTTTATCTTGAAAAGTTTAAAAATCAGAGTCTTCTAACCCACAAGTAAGTAGCTCTCCTCTTTGTCTTCACTTTCCTTGGTGTTGAGCTCTGATCCAATAGGGTCAAGTCCGTGGGTGAAGAAGCATAACCCCTGCCAGGCATACACCCTTCTGCAAAATGACTGCATACTAGAGTGAAGCAGAGCTACTGAGTCCTGAGCAAGGCCAGAGACCTGCAGTTGGGTATTCAAGGCAGTGCCTCTGCCCTGGGATTTAGAGTCATGCCAGTGACCAGCATTGTGGGGTGTTGTGTATTTCTCTTTGTCCTTCAGCCTGACATAATGAATTACTTGGGATTCTGGGTGGGAGGCAATACGATAGAACCACAGGTTGCCACATGTTGGTTAAGAGAAGAGGGAGTCTTGTTGCAGAGTTGTCTTCTCTTCTCTAGGAACAAAATTCAATGGTAACTGTATTCTTGAAGAATAGTTGTGTGTGTGTGTGTGTGTGTGTGTGTGTGTCTATGCATTTGTAGCCATACCTACAACATTAGAATTATGGCCCTTAGAGTCAGTTAGACCTGCATTCAAACTTATGTATTATTCAAACTCTCTGCGTTTCAGTAACTTTATCTATAAAATAAATGTAGTAGCATGTATCCAGGGGATTTTGCACAAATGAAATAATAAATATAAAATAGACTAGCCTTTATCACTTTCTTTCTTTCTTTGCTTCCTTGACTTGTTAGCTAATTTTCAACTGATTTTGATAGTTTCATTGTGGTATTAGCACAAATGAGTAATATTTATAAATACCATCACCACGATTTTCAGATAGTTCTACCCTTTCTTTAAAACCCCAGGGGAAGCTGAGGTGAGTGAATTGCCTGAGCCCACAGGTTCGAGACCCACCTGGGCAACTTGGTGAGACTTCATCTCTACAATAAAAAAATAAAAAAAAATTAGCCAGGCGTAGTAGTGCGTGCCTGTAGTTCCAGCTACTTGGAAGGCTGAAGCAGAAGGATCGCCAGAGCCCAGCAGGTCGAGGCTGCGGTGGCCAGGAGCAGCCACTGCACTCCTGTCTGGGAGACTGAGTGAGACTCCAACTCAAAAAAAATAAAAATAAAAAATTAGCCAGGCATAGTAGTGCACGCCTGTAGTTCCAGCTACTTGGAAGGCTGAGCAGAAGTATTGCCCAAGCCAAGCAGGTCAAGGCTGCAGTGACTGGGAGCGTGCCACCGCACTCCAGTCTGGGTGACAGAGTGAGACTTCAATTCAAAAAAAAAACAAACAAACCCGGGAGAGAAGCAGGAGACCCAAAGTTTCCTTTTCAGTGTGTAATATTCTGTAGCTTTTGAGAGGAGGTATGCATCTTAGCTATGCAGATAAACACAGACCCACAGTTAAAAGTCTTCAAGAATTTGAGCAAGATTGAGAAATATTGTCCAGATTCCAAGTAGTGTGTCTCTTCAGATGACTAATGTGCTCCCTGTGGAGCTACTTTATCCAGGTCACGTCCACCAATGTGTGAAGAATGCAGGTATTCAATAAATATAAACGTCTTGGCTGATTTCTGTTGAATACGCTTCAGATGGAGAGAAAACTCAAGGCTGAAAAGTAATCTAAAGTGTTTGTCAAGTTTTTTCTTCCTAAATTACTTTTCACCTCTCTAGACATGGACAGATTTAGTTCTGTCTATAGCATTTGAACTACCCTTGAGTGATGCCAGGTATCTATAGCTTAACATAAACAGGTCTTGAGTGTTTCAGATACAAGGCAGCCTTAGCAGCTACCTAAGTTATAAAAATAAGCCCATAAGATGCAAAAAAGAGAAAGAGAGAGAGAGAGAGAGGAATAAACAAATAGCAAAAGTAAAACTGGCTTGTAAAAACAACAACCAATAATCCTAAGGGTAAAGTCCTGCATATCCAGAGGGAATGGACAGAGAACTTGAGTTCTGTGTACTATTTTATTATCTCTGTAATACTGACTCAGAGTGTATATTCTTATGTGTGAAAATTAACTACATTTTTTATTTTCCTCCAATAAGTGAAACATGGATTATTCCCATTCTTTGGATAAAAAATGGAACTTCACAATCTTTAGTCTGGCTAGATAAAAGCAGCAGTAAGTAACAACTTTCAAAAACATCTTCACTTATAGGCATATATAAAAGCAGTAAATAAAGTACTGAACTGTCTAGCTTATGAAAAGCTACCTTATTTAAAACTAAAATATCTTTCTTGTTGAACATAGAATTTTAAAGAAAAGTATCTAATCAAAAGACATTACACGTGAACAACTATAATTATATGGTAATATCAATATATATTTTAGAGTTCCATTAAATTTATGTTTTATTGGTTTATTGTTTAGAACTGAGTGTATAGCATAAATACATGTTGAATTTTTTAAAAAATGTATCTTTTCAAACTATTCCCATATTCCTTTGTAGAAGTATTCCCTGAAATGCAAGTTTCAGATTCTGACCATGACTGGGTGATTTTGAATTTGAATATGACTGGATATTATAGAGTTAATTATGATGCATTAGGTTGGAAGAAATTAAATCAACAGCTTGAAAAGGATTTTAAGGTAAGATTATTTTTATACTATTAATTAAATGTAATTCATAATGCCATCTCTAGCCTTTAGAAGTTGAAAAGAGGTGTCTATATTAGCTATGAAGATAAACACAGACCCACAGTTGAAAGTCTTCAAGAAAACAAGTTTTTGAGAATTTGAGCAAGATTGAGAAATATTGCCCAGACTCCAAGTAGTGTGTCTCTTCAGATGACTAATGTGCTCCCTGTGGTTGACTACTTTTATCCAAGTCACGTCCACCAGTGTGGAAAGAAACTCCACCCCTAGTCCCACACTTCACACCCAAGCATATAAAAGAGTTTTTTTCCTTATTCATAGGAAGGGGAATTCGGGTTGAATATGTTGTTTTTCCAAAGCAATGTTACCTTTCCAGATAAGAATCATTTTTTCTATTCATAATTTTGTAACCTTTGGCAAGTTACTTAAATGTTCTGGTTCTATTTCTTTACTTTAAAATGGGAATGTTACAACATCTATTCATCATGAAGATTAGAAATGGTGTAGATAAAAACTTACTTAAAATTTCTAAGCCCATTACAGGTACTCAGTATATGCTAGAAAATATTAATTTTACTCCAAAAACATATTTCTACTCTCCCTTAGAAAGGAAAATTTAATTTACAAAATATCAATAATGGTGAGATATCACTTTATGTTATGAAACACTATAAACAGTTATGCAATGTATAAACATTAAAATGTTGACCAGCTCTGATCAATCAGATTTTAATTGGTTGGACTAAACTAAATCTCTGTTGGTAGAAATGGACACTAATTTAGCAATCTGTACAGCTGGCCCTGCTGTGCCTTGCTGTGAACCACTGGGTGGTTCACGTAGACTTCATTCATAAACCTGGAGTGTTGAACTAAAAGACCTCTTAAGTGTTCCTGTGTTTGAAAGTTCTCTGAGACACGTAGCAGCCTGTTCTAGCATATGGTTCCAGAGTTTGGGTTCTGGGTCAGGAAGACTTGTGTTCATATTTTGTTCATTGTTTATCAGATATGTGACACATTCAACCAAAATCTTCCTTTTTTAAAAATAAGGAGACAAAAACACTTCTTCAGTATGCTTAGGGGGGAGGGATAGGAATCAGAATGGAGTCTTCCTACTAGAAAGGTAAATCTCTAAAAGGCTAGAGAAGAGATGTCTAAAAGGCTAAAGAAGAGACTGACCTTTCTAGTAGGAAGACTCCACTCAGTTTCCCATCTCTCACCCCTAAGCATATTGAAGAAGTTTTTGTTTGTTTCCTTGTTTTTTAAAAAGGAATATTTGGGTTGAATGCATCATATATCTACAATAAATCAAAAAATTAGCTGGGCCTGGTGGCGCGTCCCTGTACTTGGGAGGTTGAGGCAGAAGGATCACCTGAGCCCAGCAGGTCAAGGCTGTGGTGGCCGTGAGTATGTCACTGCATTCTAGCCTGGGTAACAGAGTGAGACTGTGACTCAAAACAAAACAAAACAACAACAATAACAAACAAGGCTAGAGAAGGCATTCTGGTCTCCTTTGACTAACTGTACTTCAATTTCTTAACTGGTTAATAATCAGTATAATAGACCAACCTTAAAGGGTTGTTGTGAAGATTAAATAAGATGATGCATTTATGATGTTTAACAGAGTCCTGACACAATGCTGGCATTCAGAACAAGTTAAGTATTTAAATATATATATATTATTGTGATTTTGAAAAGTTACAAAAGCCACTTATAATAATATTTTCTTTTCAAATCTTTAATAGAGTGGTTAAATTTTTATTAAATTTCTAAGGACATTCTCAGCCACGGAAGTCCTAGGCTATGTCACTATAGTAATGATTCCTTGAAACCACTGTAAATTTACTTATTGAAAAACTGAGGTAATTAAAACAGAGTCTTTATTATTAACATTAATCTGAAAATGTGTTATTACTGCCAGGAAATAAATTAGATTGTTACCAATGGAAACATTAAACTTGACTTGCTCAGATGTTCTGAGGGATGTTGTAAAGATAAATTTTCTAGGACCAGATATATCAAAGTGCTGGGAGCTATTGAAGGAAAGATGTAAAAGGTTTTGGGCACTCAGGGAACTGAGCTGAATAGAGTCCTGTGGCCTGGCAGTGTGAAGGAATTCAATCAAGGCCGAAAAAGTTAGGTTGGAAAGTGGCCCTTGCCTTTCCATGGATACGTGGAGCTCTGTTGGTGGCATAGCATCACATTAATAAAATCTTGAGAAGACCAGATACCATGTAAAATATTACCAAAATAGTGATAAATAATATTTATTTAAGGTCTCTTATGCCAAAATGTCATCTGAAAACAATTTGGGTTTTGTAATACAACTTAATGTAGACTTTTGGTTTTGGAGAGGACTTTCTTTTTAATTTGATTGCTTGTTTTATTTTTTTAACATAGTATGTTTTGGGATTATCTTGGCAAAACTCTTTGCTATGTTTACACCTTATGATTGATATCCAGAGGGATCATCTATTAAAAAATGATGTATTGCAAATAAATTACGGGTACCATCCTTAGTAAGTATCATTCCTCAACAAATGAGATAATACATATGAAGGTGTTTTGTAGGCAGCAATGATCTTTAAATTGGTGTTTTGAAAATTTTTAATTAAAAAATGTCTCATTTTTTTCTGCACATACTTGGATCTAATCTACAGGCTATTCCTGTTATTCACAGACTGCAGTTGATTGATGATGCCTTTTTTTTGTCTAAGTGAGTATATTTTTCTCTCTAATAGCTTTAGAGTATACTTTGAGAACTTTATAAAAATAACAGCCTTATCTGTATGAATTTGGTTTGTATATATTTGGTTTAGTATAAATTTACATATGCTAACTGACTAAGATTAAGATCAAATTCTATAGTCATGGTAGAATTTTTCAACAGCATGTGTTCACTTGGTGTCTCTGGGTCACATGTTATTAATTCTCAGAGTATTTCAAACTTTTAAATTATTATTATATATGTCATGGTGATCTGTAATCAGGGATCTTTGATATTGTGATGGTAATTGTATTAGAGTGCTGTGAACTGTGCCTATATAGTCGTGAACTGAATCGATAAATGTGTATGTCCTGACTGCACTAGTGGTCAGCTGTCTCTCCATCTCTCTTCCTCTCCTCAGTCCTTTCCATTACCTGAGACATAGCAATATTGAAATTAGGCCAATTAATAACACTGCAATGGCGTTTAAGTGTTCAAGTGAAATGAATAGTTGTACAACTCTCATTTTAAATCAAAAGCTAAAGATGATTAAGCTTAGTGAGGAAGGCATATTGAAAGCAAGATATGCTGAAAACTAAGCCACCTAAGCAAGAAAGTTAGCCAAATTGTAGATGCAAAGGAAAAGTTATTGCAAGAAACTAATGCTACTAAACTAATAGCAAGAAACTAATGCTACTAAAGTGAATACATACATGATAAGAAAGTGAAACAGCCTTATTGCTGACATGGAAAAAAGTTTGAGTGGTCTGGATAGAGGATCAAACCAGCCACAACATTCCCATAAGCCACATCCTAATCCAGTGCAAGGACTTAACTCTCTTCCATTCTGTAAAGGTTGAGAAAAGTGAGGAAGCTGCAGAATAAAAGTTGGAAGCTAGCAGAGGAATTCATGAGGATTAAGGAAAGTATCCATCTCCAAAACATAAAAGTACAAGACGAAGAAGCAAGTGCTGATGTAGAAGCTTCAGCAAGTTATTCAGAAAATCTAGCTAAGATCACTGATAAAGTGGTTACACCAAATGACAGATTCACAGTGTACTGAAACAACCTTCATTTGGAAGATAATGCCATCTAGGAATTTCATAGCTAGAAGGGAGAAGTTAATGCCTGACTTCAAAGCTTCAAAGGATAGGCTGGCTCTCTTGTTAGAGGCTAATGCCACTGATGACATTACACTGAACCCAGTGATCATTGACCATTCCAAAATTTCTAGAGCCCTTAAGAATTATGCTAAATATACTCTGGTTGTGCTCTATAAATGAAATGACAAAGCCTAGATGATAGTACATCTGTTTGTACTATAATTTGCTAATTTTTTTTTTTTTGAGTTGGAGTCTTACTCTGTCTCCAAGGTTGGAGTGCCATGGCACACTCATGGACACCCCAGCATCAACCTGCTGGGCTCCGGTGATCCTTCCTCCTCAACCTTCCAAGTAGCTGTAACTACAGGTGCACGACACCATGCCCAGCTAATTTTTTATTTATTGTAGAGACGAGATCTTGCCAAGTTGCTCAGGCTGGTCTTGAACCCGGGGCTCAGGCAGTCCACTCGCCTCGGCCTCCCAAAGTGCTGGGATTACAGGCTGAGCTATTGAGCCTGGTCAATTTGCTGAATATTTTAAGCCCACTCTTGAGATCTACTGCTCAGAAAAAAAGATTCCTTTCAAAATAATACTACTAATTGACAATGCACTTGGTCATCCAAAAGCACTGATGGAAATGTATAGGAGATTAATGTTGTTTTTATGCTTGCTAACATGATAACCATTTTGCAGCCCATGGATCAGGAGTAATTTCTAATTTTCAATCTTATTATTTAAGAAATACATTTCATAAGGCTATAGTTCCCACACGTAGTGATTCTGCTGATGGAGCTGAGCAAAGTAATTTTAAAACTTTCTGGAAAGCGTTCACTATTTTGGATGTCATTAAGAACATTTGTGATTCAGGGGAGAAGGTCAAAATAGCAACATAAACAGGAGTTTGTAAGAAGTTGATTCCAATCCTCATGGGTGACTTCGAGGGCTCAAGACTTCAGTAGAGGAAGTCACTGCAGATGTGGCAAAAATAGCAAGAAAACTAGAATTAGAAATAGAGCTTGAAGATGTGACTGAATTGCTGTAACCTCATGATAAATTTTAATTTGATTGGATGAGAAATTGCTTCTTATGGATGAGCAAAGGAGGTGGTTTCTTGAGATAGAATCTATTCCCGGTAAAGATGCTGTGACCATTGTTGGAATCAACTACAAAGGGTTTATAATATTACACAAACTTAGTTGATGAAGCAGTGACAGAATTTGAGAGGATTGACTCTAATTTTGAAAGAAGTTCTAATGTGGGTAAAATGCTATCAAAAACATGACATGCCACAGAGAAATCTTTGGTGAAAAAGAGTTGATCAACATGTCAAACTTTATTATTGTCTTACTTTAAGAACTTGCCACAGCCACCCCAACCTTCAGAAAACTGACTCACTCAAGATTATGACTCACTGAAAGCTCAGGTGATCATTAATATTTTAAGCAATAAAGTATTTTTAATTAAGTATTTAGATTTTTTTAGACAATGTTATTGCACACTTAATGAACTATAGTATAGTGTAAACATAACTTTTATATGCACTGGGAAACGAAAAAATTCATATAACTTGCTTTTTGTGATGTTAGCTTTGTTGTGATCATCTGGAACTTAACTCACAATATCTCTGAGGTATGCCTGCAGTTGGTGTGCCCACCAGTAGCTGACAGAGTCTTAGGTAGAGAATGACTTCTAATTAAAACTTGAATGGAAATTATACTCTCATAAGAATGCATGCTAAATACACAGCTATTCTATTTCCCAATAATCAATCCAACATTTGGCCTAGATTTTCTATAGCCTTCAAGACTCTGGGCACTTGAAAGTACCAAACAGAAATGGCCTGTCAACATTGTTTGGTTTCTATCTTATCAATAAGAAGGGATTTTACCCTCTATTTTCTTGATTTATTCACATTCCTTACTAAAGTCAGGCATTGAATCATGGAACAAATACCAAATGTGTGTAAATCATTTAGCAAGTGAAGATTTTTTCAGTGTTGTATTCCTTTAAACCAAACAGAAACAATTATATTGAGATTGAAACTGCACTTGAGTTAACCAAGTACCTTGCTGAGGAAGACGAAATCATAGTATGGCATATGGTCTTGGCACACTTGACGACCAGGGATCTTGTTTATGATGTGAACAACTATGATACATATCCATTATTAAAGGTAATTTCATTCTTTGTTATGTAGTTTTAAAATAAATCCTCTCTTCCTCTTTTCATATTCTGGACAGCATCTATGAGATAGGTCTTTCCCAAAGTAATAGTCTAATATATGTATTACATATGTGTGCGTGTGTATGTGTGTGTGTTTGTGTGTATTAATTTTCTTAACAATGCGTGGTTGTCCTTGGAAATAAATACCTTTGTCATAGACCTGATCTAAAAGTGGTTTGGAAGGGTACTTAATTTTTGGTGATGTGACAGTATGTCCTGAGACACCAAAGTAGATGGAACAAATATGCCTTTTTTTATTATAGAAAAGATAGTATCTATTAGCCAAGAGACTGTTAGGCAAACAGAATGACATTTAACACCCCTATGTTTATAATTGCAATACTCTGATCTAAGTGGGGACCCCAAAAAACTGGAATTATCTTTTGGAGGACAGCTCCCCTTTTAGTATAGACTTCCTTTGCTAGGTAAGTGTTCTAGGAATCCATTGGTTTTTTATCTCAAAGTTTTGAGAAGGTTGCATCATGATTTGCTGATATGAAAAATGAAAGAAACATCTTGAGTTGTTGCAAACAGGCAACTGGTTCTTCCATTATGACAACACACCTGCCTAGAGCGGTGTTCAGCAGTTTTTGACCAAAGCAGCATGACCCCCATGCCCCACCTTCCCTTTTGACCTGATCTCACCCTCAGTGACTCTTTTTTTGTTTCCCCGATGAAGAAAAGTTCTCAAAGGGGAACATTTTGCCAATGTGGAAAAGGTGAAACAAAAAATGGCAGAAGCACTAAGAGGTATCACAATTGATGAGTTCAAAAACTGTTTTGAGCAGTGAAAACAGCATCTTGATAGGTGTATTGCATCAGATGGAGAATACTTTGAAGGTGACAAGTTTAAACATGTAAGAATAAATGTACAATTTTTCATAGACAAATTCCGCTTTGGGGGGCATTCCTCCCTGTATAGGCCCATCACTTAAAACCAGAGAGCTATATTCCAGAAATAAGTAGAAATATTGAAACTGCTGTTGATGTTAGGAAATGAATAAGGGAAATTGGAATTAATGAATGGAGAAATAACGTCATCATACATGAAAAAATATAAAAGGGGAAAAGTTCCATTGTCAGATCTTAAAATGTAATTATAAGATAAACGGCGTCAGTAAAATCAAAGCAAAAGTTAAGGAGCACTCTTTGGACAACTAGGGGCCACAAACAAACCAGAAAGTGTGTTAGGTAATGATGTCAAGTGAGTTTCTGAGTCATTCTGAGGGTGAGATACCCAAATACCTCAGGATTCCAGACTTTGTTTTTTTTTAGTGTCCGAAGTACCTATGGGAACTTAGTTGAGTGTAGGGATAGTGACCAAGAGAAGAAAGCACTGGAATGTCAATGGGATTGAGTTGGCTCACCTGATAACTGCTTCTTGGTATGAAGTAAAGCCTAATATTTTGTTTTTGAAGAATTTTAATGAATAATATCTGGTTTGTTCTTAGGGATCTATTAGTAAATGTCTATCTTTTATCATCTTACATTTGCCAGCTGATAAATCAGTTGGAGCAACTTTATTTCAGACTCAAACCAGTTTGCTGTATTTTTCTTGGCAGCATATATCATTAGCATGGAAGTTTTAAGGTAGAGATATTGTTTTACATTTTTTCCTCTATTTTGAACACAACTGGAAATGTTTGGGTGATATTAAATGATAATAATAGTTAATATCTCTTTGAGTTTTTATTATGTGCCACACAGTGTGTTTGCATACATTATACTATTAAATCCACACAATAACACTATAAAATTGATATTATTATAAACCACATTTTACATATGAGAGAACTGTGCCTAGAGAGCTCAAGGAATAAACCAGTTACACATTTGGTAACAGATAAGGAGGATTTCTGAAGAAATATCTGCCCTTCTTTATTGATGCCTTTTCAGATAAATAGAAATACAATGTAAATTCAGTGTTATGATCCAGAACTAACAGTATAATTTTTGTTGTTTATAGAAGTATCTATTAAAGAGACTTAATTCAATATGGAATACTTATTTAACTATAATTCGTGAAAATGTGTTGGCATTGCAAGATGACTACTTAGCTAAGTAAGTATGTTTTATGAAGTGATAATTGAATAAAATGGATTCATATTAACAGGCCTTTAAAAGTCATAAAATATTAATATGTGTTATTCACTGAGATATTTTTATGTGCTATTTGAGAATAGTTCAGGATTTGGTGGACTACATATGTCTCAATGGGAGAAAGTAGTTTGGGATCAGATTTTTTGTGTATTGTTGAGACAAGGTCTTGCCAAGTTGTCCAGCTGGTCTCTAACCCCTGGGCTCAGGCAATCCTCTTGCTTCTGCCTCCCAAAGTGCTGGGATTACAGGTATGAGCCACCACACCTGGCTAGTTTGGGAATCTTAATTTACCTACAAAGCATATACATTACACACAGCAGTTTATGTCTCCATATTTTCAAAGCTTAGACTAGTGGTTGAAGTCCTAATTATGTCCTGCTATTGGTGAAGGGTGTGCCAAGCAAAGATAGCCTACACCAGTGAGTTGAAGGATATGGGAAAACCACAGAAGAAAAGTCCCTTCTCTATATTAGTGTTAACAGGAATTCTGCCATTATGCAAATGAGATGAGGTAGGTTGACGGTGATGTGTATCAATCACTTGTGTGTGGGTACATGAGTATCACAAATGACTTCCACATCACTGGTTTGATGAAGGGAGTAAGCATGTTGTCATGATGATTCGGTAAAGAAGTAAAAGGCAAAAAATGGGGCTCTGGTGCCTCTGGTCTCCCTGTGATATGAGGTTTGTGTGGGTAGGCTGGGTTTCTAGATTTAGGGAGAGAATTTGTAGCTAACCATTGTGCAGGGATTATACTTACAATTTCTAGTCAAACGAACTCAAATTAGATCAGTCAAGAAATACAAAATATGCAAAAGTGATTATTCTCTTTCAATAGTAGCCTTCTGAGAAGATAGAAATTTTAGTGCTAGGTCATATGACTGGACGACAGAAGTGAATGGACTAGTCAGTGGATGATGACAAGGACTAGTTGTGATGGAGAGTTGGTATGAAGTTGTGTAAATGAATGAATGGGCAGGCAAAAGTGTGCTCACAACCAGACATTTTCTTGGCTTTCCTAAATTTCACCACAGTGGCCTATTTTTTGTAGCATATCAGGGCCAGTTCTCTTTGGAGCAGGCCTGGAGACATAGACTGCCCTTCCACAGAACTCCAACCAGCTTGGTGTTGGGATGGGTGGGAGAGGAAGTGAGTAGAGTATATAAATGAATGACCAGAACTCAGAAGGCCTCCACATTGAACACTTCACTTCTACTTATCAGAAGGTCAGGTCAGGCCAGGCATAAGTGGAGAGTGGAGCAACAGAGATTTGGCTCTTGCATTTTTTGGAAACTTATGGCCAGAATGAGTTTCTTTACTCTTGACCTCAAACTTAGAGAGAATAGGGAGACATGCTCCACAGCATCACTTACCTTGATTTATTATTGCTCTCCACTCTTTTCTTTGGTGCTTATTTTGTGTTGAACTATAGTGTGTTCTCCTGCTCAGCCATAAAACCAAACCAAACATCTTTATTCTTTTTCTGAACATGTATACAACAGCCCAGAAAAGTATGGGAAGAAATAGACGCTTAAGCAATGGAAAGCAAACAATAGAAGGGGAGAAATCAGCTACTCCCTTTCCTTTTCTTGTATAGAAAAGGAACTTTATTTTAAAGTTTAGAGTATCTCAGATTAAGTTTAAAGTTTAGAGTATCTCAGATATTCTAAAGTGAGTTTTTATCCATAAGATAATTATGCTAAAAGGGAGGGAAAAAAATGGACAACTGATGTGGAGTGTGTGTATACTCGTGTGTTTGAGGAAGATGAAGGATAGCAGTAATTTATTTCTAACTATCAAAAAATACTAGCCTTAGGAACTTTTTTGGTGCCTAAGAGGTTCTTAGGAAACATTTCTCTGAATCTTAAATACATTTGTCATCTACAAAAACTATTTTTTAAAAATCCGACGTTACTGGAAAAAAGTGTTTTAAAATACCAATCTTTTTATGAAGCACTCTTTCTTGGAGACAGAAAATAAAGGTGATAATGCTAAATAAACTCTTTTTCTTGGATGTTTTCTTCAAGAATATCACTGGAAAAACTTTTTGACACTGTATGTTGGTTGGGCCTTGAAGACTGCCTTCAGCTGTCAAGGGAACTCTTCAGAAAATGGGTGAACTATCCAGAGAATGAGTAAGAGTAATCATGTAATTCTCTTTGTTTTTGTCCTGTTTTAGGACTGACAATTTCTCTTTTTTGATGCTCTCACTGTGGGAATGACCATTTTGTTTTCACTTTGCTAATCTCTCTCTTCTATTCTTCTTTTCAAATGGTGTTTATTAATAATTGTTTAATGTGAGTTTGTACATAACAATAGAAGATTAGAATGCATACAGTGAATTGTCACCCAGGACCTCTCATTGTTGGTTCATTCTCCCAACAAACATGTACTTATAATTCTCTGTGTTTGTTTTGAGCCTTAATAGGTTGTTCTTTACAATTGTTTGTTGTTGTTATATCTATGAAAGCATCAGAACATCCCTCCTCTCCTCTCCCGTCTCTCTTCCCCTCCCTTCTTCCCTCTCCCCCTCTTCTCGTGTGTGTGTGTGTGTGTGTGTGTGTGTGTGTGTGTGTGTGTGTGTGTATGTGTGTGTGTCTCTCTCTCTCTCTCTCTGTTTGTAGCTACACTAAGAGCTACGACTATGACTCTGCCATTTTGGTTTTAGTATATATCACCTCAGATGGATTCTCAGGAAATGTGATGGTGAGATATAAGACCAAACTGCATTAACATAAACTGTACTATTCTAATTAACTTCTTTCTTAAAACTCCTTAGTTTCTAAGCTAATTTGATCTCATCTTATGAAATTAATGCTTTTGACAGTTCCCACAATCACCTCTCTAGATACTGATTTTTGACCTTTATAACTGAGATCTTGAATATTTTTTTCTAGATTTATACTTCTAATGGATGACAACCTGGATGAACATATAACTTTACTATGAGAAATACCATTGCATGTTTTATCTTACAGAATACCTTATCCAATTAAAAATGTGGTTTTATGTTATGGCATTGCCTTGGGAGGTGATAAAGAATGGGACTTTTTATTAGATGTTTACACGAACACAACAGAGGAAGAAGAAAGGATTAATCTTGCTTATGCCATGAGTTGCAGCAAGGACCCATGGATACTCAACAGGTGATTAATAAACTAAAGGGAGAAAAATAGAAATGTGCTAAAATAGGAATTAAAACAATACATATTTGTATATCACTGACTTAGAACCATGGGATTTTAGTATCATTTATTTAAATTAACTCTTTATATCAGATTTTTAAAAATTTAGTTTTTGAAAATTCACTTTTGCAGATATATGGAATATGCCATCAGTGCATCTCCATTCACTTCTAATGAAACAAATATAATTGATTTTGTGGCAGCATCTGAAGTTGGCCAGTATGTTGCAAAAGACTTCTTGGTCAACAATTGGCAAGCTGTGCGTAAAAGGTAAGAAGGAAATGAAACCTCTCTTTCATGTAGGTCACTGGTTTGGTGCTAGAATCACAGCTTTAGTCTGGCTAAGTCACAAAAGTCCTTTGCATTGACCAGAAAAGTGATGATTTTTTCCTGAGTCTCACTACAAACTGGCTGTGTTATGGAAGAGGAAGTATCTCTTAGTTTTATCTTTCTGTATGAAAATAGATTTGCATGGGATACTTATTTACTCTATTTTCCCCATTTTGTCCACTAAAAAAATGTATCTTCAGGAACACAGTTTAGAGCAGGTTATTTTTTTTGGTATGAGTGTATGTCACCCATTAATTTATTTTGTAAAATACACTATTGTATCTTTTTTTTGAGTTGGAGTCTTACTGTGTCGCCCAGGCTGGAGTGCAGTGGCACACTCACTGCCACCACAGCCTCCGCCTGCTGGGCTCAGGTGATCCTTCCACGTCAGTCTTCCAAGTAGTTGGAACTACAGGCACACTCCACCACACCCAGCTAATAATATCTTTAAGAAGCAGCAGTGCTCACTACACCATGGGCTTGAATGTTACTGATAATGTCTTTCATTTGTTGGATCTGAATTCTATATTCTTAAACTTTTTATTTCTCTCATCTTTTAAAATTATATCTGCTTACTTTCTAGCTCCTCTGTTGGGTAAAATATACATTAACATGCAAAAATCAGGTAGCATGCCCTTGATGACTGGTCTTTCTAGAATACTACTTAACCAAACATTCTTAAAAGCCCAGAATTAATGTATCCTACACACCAACACATAATCCTACTTACCTACTGTATGTTTAGCAGATTCATGGTAGCTAACAGTTAAGGTCCAAATACCTAAAAGTTTGGAAGATACTTTTTGTAAATAAATTTATTTATTTGGGGCAAAAAGTATATTCAGAATATATTGTTGAAGAATGTGGATATGGTTCTCTTATATTAAAAAATGCACACTTTTTCTTTTATAAATGTTAATTGAACACCTTTACAATACAAAAAAATGTGTTTTTAAATCAGATTTAAAATGTGTAGATGAAAGTTCCTTTGTACCATATCATTTCTCTGGCTCATAGGTGGGCCACACATGACATACTCACACAGTAGAATATTGTCCTTGTCTCTTGTTTTAGATTATCTATCATTCTTGGTTCACTGCTTCAGAGGTCCTGTAGAGTCCTCACATTTTCTGGGATCTCTAAGACTTTGGGGGTAAATTATGTCTTCCATATTTGTTTAGGGCATTAAAGATAATCACTTCTTCCTGAGTCCTACCCCCACTGGGAATTTGGGTGTTGAGTTTTAAATTGGAATTATTTAAATAGGTCTCCTTATTCCATGAAGTTTTAGGGACTTAAACCTCATAGGGTTGTGTTAGTTTCTGTTCTCTCTGCCCAAGGCTTGTAACAGAAACTCTGTCCCCATGTCCACTGTAGGTCTAACTCAGGGGTCCCCACACCTGGGCTACTGACCAGCACCTGTTAGGACCCAGGCCGCACAGCAAGAGGTGAGTGGCCAGCAAGGAAACTTCATCTGTATTTACAGCCACTCCCCACAGCTCGCATTACCACCTGAGCTTTGCCTCCTGTCAGATCAGCAGTTGTGATGCTAGCACTGGTAAGCAGCTGCAAATACAGGTTAACATTAGCAGTGAAGTTTGTGCATCCTCTTCCTCCTCACCATTCCCTCTTCCCCCACTACACCGGTTCGTGGAAAAATTGTTTTCCATGAAACTGATCCTTGATGTCAAAAAAGCTGATCTAATGTGTCTGGCTTTGCCTGAGCTGTGAAGCCATCTACCCTCTTGCTGCCGTTGGTCAGCTTGCCCAAAGTCGTTCACTTCAGCTACAGTCCTTAACTTTTCTTCCAGAGCCTCCTGTTGCTTTCTCTAGTCGCAATTTTGAAATTAAAATGTGAGAGAATAGTGCCCTTAAGAAATATTATCTGCCTCTAAGAAATATTATCTGCCATTATCTGCCTGAGGATCTAACCTGTAATCAACATAGTCCATCACATTCTCCACTCCCTCTGATGCCCTGCTGGGCCCTGAGGAAAGCACAAGTTTACAGTTCCTTCCCATACTTAATTTTGGTAGTGCCTGACACTTGATATGCATTTATAAGTGCTAAGATGGGATATATTGTTGTGACTTAAGGTGTAGTGGAGCCTATTAGTCCGAGGCCATCTACACTGAAGATACGTGAGCCCAAGCACAAACCAGAAGCTTTCCAAAATCACCTGGAGTGGTAAGAAACATAAAGATTACCAAACTTACTTACCCTTTAAAATAAGAATCTGCTAGAATACAGCAGGAAATCTGTACCTTTTACTCCCTCCCCTGGTAACTTCAGTATAATTTAACATGGGACCATTGATACTGTATTTAAAATCATATAAGGCTGCATTCATTGCCCAATATGATAGCCACTAGCTATATGTAGCACAGATAAGAACATTTCCATCATTGCAGAGGGTTAGACTAGACAGCACTCACCTAAAGGTAAACCCGCTCCTCAATTCACTTTTTTTTTCTTCATATAGCAGACACAGCACATGTGCAAGTTAAAAATCTCATAACAGCTTTAGCAAACCATGGAATACCAAAGTTAATATATGTTATCACCTGAGGCAGATATTTGGCATTGCTCCTGGATGTCTCCCTTGTCCTATCATTGCTGCATTCTTAGTACTGACAACTCTTCAGCCACTAAAAGTCACTGGATTAGAAAATAAATGATATGCACATGTTTCTAGTTCAATAGATTTCTCAATTAAAAATTAGAGAATGATTGATTAATTCATCTTGATTAAATATGTCATGGTAATGTTAACCATTGGAGAAACTGTGTGCAGGGTATTTGAGAACTTTTTGTAGTATTATTGCAACTTTTCTGTAAATGTAAAACTATTCTGAAATGGAAAGCTCATTTTTTAAAAATTAGAGGATGCACTGCACATATGCCCTGTAATACAGATTGAGGAAGATTGCTTTTAAGTGACTTTAAGTGTGTTTTAATTTTTATTTCTCACAAAAAACTTTTTTTGCATTTAGCAAACAGGAAAATGTTGGCAGCATTATATATACTGAGACTTAAATTCCTCTTTCTGAAAAGTACATTTTCTAGCAACTTATTTAAATAATCTATACAACTGTATTAAATAAGAATTCCTTTTTTCATTTTAACTCTAAATGGGCCTTATCATTATCCCCAAGAAGTTCCCTAAATTATAAATGAATGAGTTTTTAACCATGGCATGATTATTTTTATCTTTTAGTTGACAAAATGCCATACTCATAAAACAGATGCCTGTTCTACTTATGGTAAAGTCATCTTAGTTCACTTCTCTTGTACATTCTGCTACAAAAAGTCTTTCAGACTCAAATTAATTTTTCTTTCTACATCTCATACATTTATTTTTAGGATTTATTTTATATTAAGCAGTCTTGCTCAATTTTGCCAAAGGTTTTGTTTGAATAGACAGTGATATTATTTATGGATTTTTAGAAGGAAATAAGAGTTCAGTTTAATAAATAAAATTTTATTTCACTTAGAGGAATGTATACTCAGTTCTTTGAACATCAAAATATTTAATTATCACTTATTAAACAGTTATATTTCACATGAATGTCTTTATGTCACCAGTCCTCATGCAAAGATAACATAGAAGTATAAATAAAAAATGTTTATTCCAAATGAAGAGTTCGATTAACTATATAAAAAGTATTTACACTGAATTTGCCAAAATGTGACTGATCACTAACTAGTAAGCACTTAACTTAGTTTTTCTCAGGTGTGTTCCACTGAACGTCACTCACGAAATATGAGAATGATAGTCCTTCTGGGAACAAGGGAGACAATAGTGCAATCAGTTTCAGAACTATTTTAAGCCTCACTTTTGCAGAGTCAGTGTATTTTATTTTATTATTTTTGTGATACGTATATATTGTATTTCAATAGCTTTAGAGGGTACAAATAGTTTTGGGTTACATGGATGCATTATATAGTGGCGAAGAGGTTCGGACTGTAAGTGTACCCACCCCCACCACATGTGCACACTGTACCTACGAGATGATATTTCATCCCTCCACCCTTCCTGCCCTCTTCCTTCTGAGTCTCCAATGTCCATTACAGCACTCTGTATTCTATATGCTTTTGCAGCATTCTATATTCTATATGCAGCATTCTGTATTCTATATGCCTTTGCAGAACCTTAGTTTAGCTCCCACTTGTGAGAACATGTCATGTTTGGTTTTCTCTTTCTGCATCAGTTCGTTTAGGATGATGTTCTCCAGTTCTGAGTTCGTGCAAAATACAGTATTTCATTCTTTTTTATTGTTGAATAATATTCCATTATATATATTTCCTATATATATCTATCACATTTTCATTATCCACTTATCAGTTGAACATTTAGATTGATTCCACACCTTTGCAGCTGTGCTGCAATAAATATTCTAGTGCAGCTGTCTTTTGTGCATTTGTGTTACTTTGGGTAAATACCTAATAGTGGATTACAGGATCAAATGATAGATCTACTTAGTTCTTTAAGAAATCTCCATTTGGAGCTTAAGATGGCAGCTGACAGGTCACGCTGTAGAATTCTCCGTGGAGGCAAGCAACAATAGAGACTCTCCACTTGAGTAGGTGGGTGCTGGTGGGAACATGAAAGTCTATCTGAGGGGATACTCGGCTGCATCCACCTGGGTCTCCCCTCTGAGGGTGACTACAGGCTCCCAATACCCTGAGATTGGAGCTCAGATCCCAAGAATGCCACAGAAACATCGGCTGTGGGAACGTGCCTGAGGAAAGCCTGCTGAATTCAGCTGATTCCCAGCACTTGGCACCCAGCATATACCATCGCCTGGCATACCGGACCCGCTGGAGTGCAGGATTTGACTTTTGGAGAGACAGCATTGGGGGAATCCAGAGAGAAAAATGCATGCCTGGTGAGAAGCCGCCCAGGCAGCCATTTTCCAGGTAGAAATTTGCATTGCTCC